GTGTGAAGTCAGACTCTGTTGAGGAGAAGACAAGCAGAGGTCAGGATGGAGGGATGAGAAGAAGAAAAGAGAGGGACTATCTGCCGTGCCAGTTCGGAGCCAGACTCTCATTCCAGCGTCATTAGAAAGGGACAAGGTTGCCATTACAAAACCCAGGCATCACATTCCTCAGCAGGGGACTGGAGGAGGTGGGATATATGTGATGGGATCGCATCAGTCCTATATTTTCCATCTTAAGTACAATATCAGACCGGTCTCACTTGCTTTGCATCAGTATCATTACAGCCACCCACACACAAGGCAACATGATGACAGCCAGATTTGAGGGAAGGGGATATAATTAGTGGCGGGGGACGTTGGATGAGGAAAAACCATCACTGTCATTATGGCTCTTTAACTTAGTGTGTGAACTCGGTGAACTCTATATGTTTGCTGATAAGTATGATCTTACTTGCCTGACTTACTTCCAAAAAAGTATCAGATGTGGCTTTATTTCAAATGGTTTGGGGGCTTTTTTTTAAGCCTTTATTGGGCAGGAGGCAGTGACAGGAAACGTGGGAAGACAGAGACAAGGGAACGACTTGCAACAAAGGTTTCTTTTTTGTTCAAAAGAATTTTGGAAAGTGTAGTTTTGAGGTGAAATCCACTTTGCATGCTTTTTGCCCCAAACATTACAATAAGGCCCAGCTCTAGCCTACTGGAAATAGGCTCCATTTTATATGAGCAAAAGTTAAGTAAAACTGCAGTTTTTTTTCACTCTGTAACTAATATAAAAATGTTGTATTTGGTGAAAGGCATTTGTCATTGTGATTGTGTAATACTGAATATCACAGGTCAGATTGCACAGATTATTCCTGGTGATAAATACTATCTATATAAAGCATAGAAAGCATAGCAAAGATTTTCCCAGCTGGATAAACTCTTGCATAATTTCAATCTTTTGTAATATGTAATCCCAACAATAAATCTTGTATCCCAACAGGGACTTTGCAAGGCGATACTGCTCAAGCATAAAGATCCTGAATATGTGAATAAATCAATATTAATACAGAGGTCAGATTTCAAGGTCGGGGTACAACAAATCCTTGTATACCTCGCCTCAGGATGTCGAACTGGTAAATCAGGCTGGAGGAGCGCCGGTTGAAGACGACCGGCGGGCGGCTGTTGTTTCGGGTCGCTGCGCCGATGCCTGACTGATAGAGACTGGACTTCCCCGGCCGGTTTTCCTCGGGGTCCAGCCGGCGGTTGGGCTGATCTCTCCGCGGAGAGGGCGCCGGTTGGTGCGGCTGAGCCTGAGGCTGTGAGTGGGGTGGGCCCCTGGGTCTGGAGTTGGGGTGTCCCTCTGCTTCGCTCTGCTGAGGAGGACTGATGTTGGGCTGGGTGTCCTGGTTGGTCTTCTGCACGGTGCGGTTAGTGGCAGCGGCTGTAGCTCCTGTCAGCGGGGCTTTGGGAAGCAGACCGACAACTTCTCCTCTGGTTTTCTCGCTGTTGTGCTCCAGCAGACGGTCGCTCTTGGGGCCCTTCTTGCTCTTGTTGTGGGGAGCGTGGTGTCGAGGGATGGGGGCCAGGTCGCTGTGCTTGGGCCACACAGCTGAGGGCAGAGGATGGAGGGCGAATTTGGACTCGCCGGTCTTGCTGCCTTTCTCTAGAAGCTCATTGATGGGCAGGGAGGGCTCTTTCACCACCAGCCTGCTCTGGTTGCCCGGGGCTGGATCCACAAAGCTGCTCTGACCCTTTTCTATCAGACTGTACAGCTCTGAGGTTTAAACAGACAAAACATTTGCACTCAATTTACACAATTTGATTTTGTATTTTACCCCATAAACCCCTTTATTCCCACAATAGATTACAACAGTGGGTTAATTTAATGTAGCCAACATGGTAACTCTGGACATTCCTTAAAAACTTACTTTGGTTATTTCTTACCTTAGTTCAAATGATAAGATATGAAAAATATTTAAACTCATTGAATTGATAGGAATCTACATCCAAGATATTACTTTTTAAATTCAAATAGTCATACAAATCTTCCTATTCATCAGAATTATAAGATGATGTCAACTCTTACTCACTTAGCATGTTATCAAATTATCTAATTTAGTGCCACCTAAGATTGTTAAAATTTTATAGGTTTTTTTTTAGATGTTTTAGAATAATAGTGACCTATATATATATATTGACCAATGCTATACAACTGTTACATCCAAAGCTAAAGAATTTAAAAGCAAACAAACTACAACAGTGGCGAATCCTGAAATTATTAAATTGCATTATTAATCTCATTAAAGCAACAAGAAAGAATGTGTAAGAAAACCATTTCTGATCAAAATATAAAAATGTCACTACAAATCTCAACTATCCTGAGTGACAAAAACAAATACACTCACCGTTAACAACACGCTCTTCTGTTTTGTGAAGTGGAAACCCTAGAAACAAGAGAAACAGAATAATCCCTGTCATCCTGGATGTTCAGTGAGGACACACTTTAAGGTCTGGTACAGAGCTGGGATTCCTGGGATTTTTATACGGCCCACTCTGCAATGAGAGGGAAAGGGAGGTGGTGGGACGTCCCAAACACAGAAATAAATTCTTTGACATGACACTCCTTTCATTCATAAATGGTTGTTTACAATATAAGAGGAGAAATGTGTCTCTGTGTAGATATTATCTGCTGTTTACTGAGTAGGATTTTATGTTAAAGGGAACTAGGTTTACCTTCTAATATGTGATGTCCAAAATAATGTTCATATTTAATTTATCGATGCTTAAATACTTAAGTACGTTTGAAATTTCAATGGATCATATAAAAATACTCACTATTTCAGGTTATGGTTGAGGTTATCTCGATGCTTTAGGTGGATGTGACTGTTGACCTGAATGTATTTAAATTTGTCAGACTTTACTTCCCTCTGGTGGCCACAGTGAGGAACTGCAACATTAAAATTTGTCAAAATCACTTCAGTGTATATACACTTGACCAAACTGAAAAAGAACAGAAATAAACTTCAGGCGATTGTGTTTGTTGTTTTCTAGTTGTCACTGTTTTGTGTTTTTTTCTGAGCATGAACATACAATCAGTAAATATACAAGTATAACTGAATATTGCTATTTGCATCGTGGTCCAGTATTTATAATAATACTAGCCTAATAATAATAATAATAATAATAATGATAATAGATCTTGTAAGATGAGATTTATCGTGATTTATTTTGTAAATTACCTTAATCGTTCTAATGTTTCTTTAGATCAGTTGAATAATTTAATTAGTGGTAATGACATTATATTTGGCATTTTTACCATCTTCCTGATTTATATAGAGAAGCAGCGTACAAAACATGATGCATCTTGCCTGTGATGCTTGTAGAATGTGATTGCACAGGGCAGTGTTTTCATGCATTTATGGCAGGATAAGCTCAGTGCTTATTTCCACTCATGCTGTTTTGCTATTTCCCTATTTTTCTAGCAGTTATAAGGTATTTTCTTTTGTTTACGTTTCAGATTTATTTTTTCATAGATTTTAAATTTAAGTTTTGAATTTGTCATCTGAAGATAGGGAAGCATGTAAATTGAGATTTTTTTTAAATCAATTATTTATTGATATCATGATGGGGAGACCGATATGCTGGGATGATGAGGAGTTAAGTCTTAAGCCCCTTTTCCACTGGAGAAGAGGTGTCAGTACCGATCCTTGGGCCACTCTTGTGGGGAGGGGATGGAGTAAAGACGTTTGTCTTTGCCATGACACACTGTAAGAGTGTCCGGTGGGATTCAAAACAAAAAAAAGCGCTTTACCCAAGATTTACCCCGACAGCAGGATGCAGTGGTTCACTGTATCAAATGCTGCTGATAGGACCAGCGAGATAAGAACTGAGGAATGAGCTGCAGGTCTAGCTGCTTTTAGGGCTTCTGTCACAGACAACAGAGCAGCTTCAGTGGAGTGGCCAGAGCCAGAGGAATACTGGGACCTGCTCAAAAACCACCCTTACAAAACACGTAGGTAAGTGGAAGGTAGTGAGACCAGTATATAGTTCTCCTCTTGAGTAGGTTTGAATGAGCTCATGTTAGGGACCAATAGACGTGGTAGCTGAGCCAGCACCAGTGCAAGTGAACCTTTCCATGGGCACTTATTTGACAGCATAAACAATGTTATTAGCGCCCTGATGCCGAATGGGGGTGATGGTTGTATATGATGGAGTGATGGAGTGTATGAATCTTCTTCCCCTCCAGTGGTCAGAATGAGGACACCATTACATTTATCAAACCAGACCTTCATGTTGTAATATGTTGCTGTCCACTTCTGGACTGAAGAGCTGAGCATTCCCAGTATGATGCTGCAACTGTGCATATTTATTTTAAATTGACTGTCCTTGTTTTATACAGCTGTTCCTGATCCCCACCCTTTTCTCCTCTCACATTTTACATATTTCACCATTGTTGGAATTGATAGCTGATAGTTGATTAATTGCTGAACAGACAAACTCTAGTCACAATCACCTGGTTACAAAGGGAGACTATTAATGGAGAATAGACCAATTACCGGTGTATGTGATTAGCAAGACAATGCTGTATCCCACCATTCTGCTCGCTGTGTAAAGGTACTTCTAGAAGAGCCCTGAAAAGGAAACTAAAGACGACCCAGATGGGACTCGAACCCACAATCCCCAGCTCCGGAGGCTGATGCCTTATCCATTAGGCCACTGGGTCATTACGCCACTGTTTGCGAAAAATACCCATTATCAAAATAAGACAAGTGATGGAAACTAACGATTTGACCTTCATTTTAGCATCTGAACTCGAATATCCACTTCGTTAAGTAAAGGAAATACCCACAATGGTCCACATTGAGGAACTGTGACCGTTTTATCTCGCGATACTGACCCCGGTTGCCTTTGTCAACGGTTTTGTTGTTTGATGCATTTTTTCCAACCGAAGGTGACAGGGAGGAGCTTGTAGGCAAACTGTCCAATGAGAAATCAGAAGCGAAACAGGGCGGTATACATCTGACGTCACGCCTATTGTAAGAAAAAATAGCCTGGGAGAAATCTTTTAAGGTAAGCCGGGCGCACATGTTCTATGTCAAAATATACAATTAGACAATGTATTATTACTTTAACCATTCAATTCATTGTATTTGCTTCTAATTTGATTGTATTATGGGTGTATTATCTTTATTTCTGTGAATTTCAGCGGGGTTTTTTGGGTGTTGGTTTACCAGACAGGCTCCGTGTGCAATGGGCCACATGGTGTTAGATAACCGGCTTGGCTTCAAGACAAGCGGACACTTAATTTCTTGCTGGCTCTGATGATTAACCTGAGTTAACGACGCTAGTGTAAGCAGCCGTTGGTACGAACGTTTGATCGTTAAATTCCCGTCTTTCCACAGGGAGCGTGTATAACGTTAGTGGAACCGTTTGTCTTGCTCAACGGTCAGGAATGTCAGCTGGCAGCGACAACGGAGCTCGGCTCAACCAGTTCAAAAACAAAGGGAAAGACGCCAATGTAAGCCCTGCCAGTAACGACTAGCATAAACTACAGCACGAATTATGTTGGTAATCGTCCTCAATCTTGTGTTCAATATACAGATATGTAAAACTTTTATGGGTGTCGACATTTTCAGGAGCTAAGGCGCAGGAGAGCGGAAGTCAATGTGGAGCTCCGAAAAGCAAAGAAAGATGATCAGATCCTGAAGAGGAGAAATGTCCAGAGTCTTCTGGACGAGCCGACCTCTCCTCTGCAAGAGAAGGATCCGAACGCACAGGTAGTCTGTGACTGATGAGCCCCTGGGCGGTTCGACTGCCTCGTTCACACTCTGGTTTGGCGGGGTACAGTAAACCGGACGCACCTGTCATGTCTGAAGTATTTGATTATTGGCTATGAATCACCTACATCACCCTCCATGTCAGCGCCTGACACTACCTCAAGAGAAAGTCTAGTTAAATTGAATCTTAAAGGTTGATAATATGAAAGTGTTCTCTGTTTGCACACAATGGCCAAAGGTCAATGAGAAACTTGAGGCAAATTTAAGTGTATACCTAATGATAGCAATGTGAAGGTGATTCTTCTTAATTTATAAAGGCTTTGAGTATGCGTAACATAACTGAAAGTCTGAGCAGCTTCCTTTTTCACAGTTGATTTGCATTGTCCTGATCCTGTAACCCATACCTAAACATGTTCCAGTAAATGCTGCGAGTTGTTTTTAACTGCTTGTTTGACCCATGTTCACTTGCCAGATAAGTAATCCTCTTCTGTTTCTGTTTCTGTTTCCATAGCCTCCTCAGCACTGGTCTGTGGAGGAGATTGTAGGAGGTGTGAACAGCCAGAACCTTGATCATCAGCTCCAGGCCACTCAGGCAGCCAGGTAAAGTTATTTTGAATAATAATTTGACTGAAGAGTTTTAGTGTGTTACTATAATAAACTAGTTCCATCTTATATTATAACTGTGGTATTCTAAAGAACAGACAACCAAAGCCCTGGTGTCCATCATTTGTTCAAATTCTCTTAGGTTTCAAACATATTATTTTTGGGGACACTTGTTCTTTTTCTGTTGAGTAAGAAGTCAATTTGTAGATTCCCAAACCTGTTAAACACGATGTTGTATATTTATTGCTATTTATTCCTTTAATGACATTGAACAATGCTACAACTTTACTTTCTCTTTCCCTGAAGTCACCTTCCACTGATTAACCCCTCCACTATGTTTGTTGTTTTTCTCGATGTATAGAAAGCTCCTCTCCAGAGAAAAGCACCCACCAATTGACAGCATAATTGCTGCCAGCCTCATCCCAAGGTTTGTTAGTTTTTTGGCATTGTCTGAATGTCCTCCCATCCAGTTTGAGGCAGCTTGGGCTCTGACCAACATCGCCTCAGGTACATCAGACCAGACCACTGCTGTCGTGGAAGGAGGGGCCATCCCAGCCTTCATCAGCCTGGTGGCATCACCCCACCCACACATAAGCGAGCAGGCCATTTGGGCCTTGGGTAACATTGCAGGTACTGTAGGTTATCTTTGTGGTTGAGAATTCATTTTTTTTTTTTTGCTTCTGTTGCTCCATTACTAGATCCTCCACTGTTATATTGTTAACCTTTTTTGCCTAGAAATACGTAACGCAAGGATTTGTGTGCAATTATGCATCCCTTCTTTTGTCTGCAGAAGTTGTTTGTCTCCACAGGCTGTCATACTGAATTAATTAATGTAAAAGGTTGTGCCATAAAACTCTAAAGTGATGTTGACACGTTAAGTTCATTGTCCAAAAGTGATTGATGCACGATAGTAAGGAAGCTATGGAGCCTGCATCGTGAAAAACAGTCCTGGCATATTAGGATAACAGAATAACATGCAGAAGGCTCTTTTTAAATGAAGGGCTTCCTTTGAAATTCTCTACCAAATGATTCATCTTTCATGGTAACCACATACAGAAACCATCAGCAATTTTCATGACATGAAACATTTTGTTGTGATGTACTCTTTTTCTGTTCAGTGAATACACTGCTGACTGGAGATGACTGAAAATGTCTTTTTTCTGGACCCAGGTGATGGATCCAACTACAGAGACCTAGTGATCAAACATGGTGGACTCCAGCCACTCCTGGCCCTGCTGGCAGCCCCTGACCTGTCTGTGTTTCCTGTGAGTTTCCTTTTATAAACATGACTGCACTGCTGGGTTTAAGAGGCGCATTTATGTTACATGGCAGTACAGCCTTGTTAAGAACTTGTATGTTCTATCCAGATACAGACAAGATATATTGCAAACATGGCATCAAAATATGTATCAGGCATTTTTGCTCCTCCCTGGTCAAATATTTATTTTCAGGAAGATTTGGAAGATGTCATTGGGTAACATGGCCTCCAGTACAGATTTAAAAACATTTACAGACTTGTTTGTTGTAGGCAAATCAACTAGACCCAGCTGGTTATAGATTTGTCATCTAATTCTTACACTACAGAATTTACTTGACTGCCCTTTAGTGTGGTCAGGAGTGCATTTATAACATGTGGATATACAGTATGTATTCCCTAACACATTAGAATCAGATCCTAATTCCTCTTCTGTGTATTTTGTTTGCAGCTGCACTTGTATTTAGAGCTGTGCACTCCTGATCTGATCAGTTCCTCAAAAAAATCCCTAAATTGCAGCAAGGAAATGAACATTTAAAAAAATGTATGATCTCAAATTGTAATTTGGTATTAATAAAATAAGGATATTGTAATTACTGTTGACTGACTTTTGACACTAAATGGATTATTGCAAAAAGAGGAAGTGCAATAAGCTGCCTATACATACATACACACACAAATAAATATATATATTTTTTTTTTTTATCTGCATGTGGTGTTAAGTTATTCATTCCTGTTGAAAAGCTTATGACCAGTTAAGAACCCTTTTTCACACTGCAGAGCATTTTTTTTTGTTGCTTAGGGACCTTTGAAATTTGAACCGTACAGTTTTTTACTGCAGTTATCAAAAATGTATAAATTGCACAATAGCTCCCACTGTAAAATTTGGTCTGAGCATTTATTTAAATTGAACTCATTAGTAAAGACTTTTTTATTCAAGTCATTGACTGGTTTCATGGCTTGAAAAAAATCCTGAGGCCCTGAATTTATTCTGCTTGTAGGTGTCTCTCTTTATAGAGAGGACTCTGAATAAATTTGAGTCTTGTTAGTGTTGTGGTATACTCTGTTACTCAAACAACTATCATGTTCACAAATAACACTTGACTCTTAAATCACCATACCAGTCTGGCTACCTGCGCAATGTCACCTGGACGCTGTCCAACCTGTGTCGGAACAAGAACCCAGCCCCTCCTTTGACGGCGGTGCAGCAGCTACTTCCAGCCCTGGTGCGCCTCCTGCACCATGACGACAGGGAGATCCTAGCCGACACCTGTTGGGCTGTGTCCTATCTTACAGATGGCGTCAATGAGAGGATAGAGGTGGTCGTGCAGGCTGGTCTGGTGCCCCGTCTGGTACAGCTTCTTGCCTGTGGGGAGCTCTCTATTGTGGTATGGGCTATAGCGTTTGTTAAACTCAAAAGTTAGTGTAATTTCTGACATTTGAAAGTGCAATTAGTACACTGTCTAAAGTGCTCTTATTCATTTAAGACAACAGTTAAATATTCAAAGGAGATTAATTGATCAGAAGTAACTTATGATGGCAGAAATGGAATCGAGAGAGCTTAACTTTGAGTTTAAAATCTGGAGTTTATCTTAAAGGAACAGTTTGACCATTTGAGAAATGCGCTTATTTGCTTATTTGCTTGTTTGATGAAAGTCATAGGGCTCCTTTAATATAATAGCTTGTTCCATCAGGTCCAGAAGTGCTCATTATATGCTCATAAATATCATCTCACTTCAAGACATTCCTCACAGTCCACTCAAGCCTCCTCTTTTTTTTTACCCATCCTCCTGTATCTTCAACTTTAAACCTGTCCAATTCACCCTCATCATAAAGTTGAAGAAAACCAATTTCTCTCTAGTTCTTTTTTGAACATCTGTTCTCATTACTTGAATCTTACATAATCATTTAATCCCTAATATGAATTTAGTCTTATTAAGAGTTTGGTCAATCCTGCACTCCTTGAAAATCTTTCTGTCAAGTTTAGGCTGAGTGTTGGGCAGATTACTGTTACAGTGTCTCAAGTCATGCGTGCAGTCAGATGTGAACGGAAGATGTGACTACTTCTCCTTTTCCTCCCAGACTCCAGCCCTGCGGTCACTTGGCAACATTGTGACTGGGACAGATGAGCAGACCCAGTGTGTTCTGAATGCAGGTGCCCTGGCGATGTTACCTGGCCTCCTACGTCACCAAAAGCCCAACATCCAGAAAGAAGCAGCCTGGACAGTGTCCAACATCACTGCTGGCAAAGACACCCAGATTCAGGAGGTTATCAATGCAGGACTGATACCCATCCTAGTGGAGATCCTCCAACAGGTTGGGACACAAAAGCAGACAGAAAATATTTTTGGCTTGTTGCACGAGTCCAAATAAGATTAATTCATAATAGGTCTAGTTATATTTTTATATTTTATTGATCAGTGTAAGGATGGTTGTCCTCTGCCTTTTACCCATCCATCTTACCCTCATTCAACAATAAACAGCCGTAAGGCAGCATCTGGGCTCCAGCTCCAGTTCTAAGACTGTTGTCTTTGTCAAACACAATAGTGGCAGCATTCCTAGTATCTTTAATGCTTGACTTGACAGCAACTACCACTATTTACATTCAAGGGATTTACAAACTAAAACATCAGATTTATTTTTTGTTTAGGCAGACTACAAGACCCAGAAGGAGGCAGTGTGGGCTGTCACCAATTACACCAGCGGTGGAACAGTGGCCCAAGTGGCCTACCTCGTCCACTGCAATGTGCTGGGGCCTCTGCTCAACCTACTGACAGCTAAAGAATGCAAGATCATCTTGGTCATCCTGGATGCAATCTACAATATTTTACAGGTACATTGTCAGGATTTAAAAGAAGCCACAGAAGTCCCATTTTCATCTATACTGCTCCCTTTGCATTGGAGTTGCTCACAGAAAATGTGTCTTCATGGGATATCAAAATGCTGCAGTTAACACTCTTTGCTATGTGTCCTGTAGATTTTGCCCCCCAACTTGTCTGCCATTGGCAGTGACCTCTGAGGCAAACTGTAGCGCCTAACTATTCATCTCAGAATATTAAAAAAATTAACATGCAATTTATATTTGATGAAGTTATACTTAATGTATCACAGTGAAGATTAAATTATTAGTTGCAGTTGCAAAGGCAGATTCACAGCGCAAAGTAAGAAAACCACACACAAAAAAAGCTATCAATTACAGTAAACAACAGAAAAACATGTTTTAGAAACTTGTTGGCAGGTCATTCACCTCAGCACAACTTGTGGACTGTAGGTTAGATTAGGTTACTTTATTTGTGCCTGTAGGTAAAATTGATTTGCAATAAAAAGAGTCAGCAATCACATAACGCATAACATTTAACACACAGAACAGATGTTAACTAAATCACTAGATGTTATTCTTTATTTCTACAAGATAAGAGTAGACGCATTTTATATCCAACTTCAGGTTCACTTGTAATGTATGACATGAAGAACAAACCAATTACGAAGCACAACTATTCCATCGTATTCTGTCCAGGAAACTCTTATTTTGTGTAGGATTAATATAACGTTTAGACATTAGGTGTGTGGTGAAACTTGAACTATTATAGTGGATTTGAAGTAAAATTAATAAAACATGACACAGGCCTTTTTTTCTTTTCTTTAGAACTTGAAATACAACTGTGAAAATGTTTTTCTAAGTGAAAGAAAATGCCATGCAAAACAGACTAATGTTATATTAATGCCTATAACTGCAATGAAGAACATTTTAAAGAGATGTTAGTCTTGAACCGTAACCTTACACACTCTTCTGTCAGCAGATATTTGATTTTAGATCTCAGGGAATTTGAGATTAACACCGTGGGTTTTTGAGATTAGGAAACATGTAGCCCTGCTGAATTTAATCTCACATTATAGATTAAATGACGCAGGTTGATTCTTGACATTCATGGATTAAAATGGATGGTCACAGGACACAGGTTCATTTATTGTGTGAGGAAACTATTATTCTTACAGATTTCTTTTCCCTTTCCCCACAGATGGCATTTAAAGCTGGTGAGATTGAGAAACTGTGCCTAATGATTGAGGAGTTGGGTGGTTTGGACAAGATTGAAGCACTGCAGTCCCATGACAACGAAGCAGTCTACAAATCCTCTCTAAACATTATAGACAGATTTTTCTCTGAAGAGGTAAGTGTTACTAATGACATTTGTCTGATCTCTATTGATTTTACATTTTTGAATGACCACAATGGTTTCACTTGAGGTGTTTAGAGTTGATTTTCTTGTGTATCTGTGAATCTTTATTTTTGTAAAAATGTGTGTTATGTCCTGGCAGAAGAAGCACAACTTCACTGTTAATTGTATGACTCATTCTGGCAGCTCCAGCAGGGTGGCAGAGGTTATTTGTGTGATTACCGTTCTCTACTTACTATTGCTGTAGAATAAATGTGAGGTGCGGTGCAACATATGGTAGCCTAAGCTAGTTGTTGGCTGGTTTCTACAAGTCTACCTAATTACCTAATTTGTAATTAAAGTTTTGCATTTCCTGGCCTGACCAAAATCTATCAAAATAAAACTTCTTTTGCTTTCAAAGATCTGTATTTTAATATGAATCAGTTCACAACAGATTCTTTCTTGGCTAACAGAAATTGTCCACAGAATCTATCCTAATCCATGTCCATGAAACCATCCCCAAAACATGCCAAGACTTGGTTAATCCTCTAATGCCCTTATCCTCCTGTCCCTCTTGTCTTTCAGAATGAAGATGATGAGTCTGTGGTTCCTGAGGCTACAGCAGACAGCTATACCTTCCAGATTTCCAAAGACCAGAGCACTTTCCAGTTTTAACACGTCCAGTTTGCTCTTTGTAACATATAAAAAACTGAAAATTCTTACTTTTGTTTTATATTTTTGTAATTTTTTTAGACATTTCATCCTTGTACATAACAGTACAAACAAAAATATCTGTTCCGTTTTGAAAAATATTTGTAAATAAATTTTATTCATGCATACAGTGTTTTTTTCTTGATATGTGTTTCAAATATAAGCAGGCTATGAATAGGGAAACCGGGCTTGATTCATTTGTTGAAAATATGTGACAGAGTTGAGGTGTGAAGAACCAGTGGGAAATAGGGAATGAGAGATGAGTCAATGTCACCACTAGGTGACACTGCTTATTCTATTTGCTTGTTAGTTTACAGCATATAATGATCCTGTTTTACATGTAAACTATTTTATGCCTGAAATCTAACAATTTTAATGTGTCCACTGAATATCTCAGTAGATAGCTCAGAGAGGAGGAGAACCAGACCCTGAGACTTAATTTTAAGTCACGTTCCTCAGACCTATATTTATCTACCCTCAGGAAAAATGGCATAATGTCTATAGGGGCTCATTGGTTGAATAAGTTTGAAATAGCCTTGTCATAATTAATGAGTTTTTTTTCTGTGTTTAATGTTTTTTGCCCATGGTGGCTGTATAATGTATAGCAGTGACTTTTCACATTGGAGGGCATGTAATAGACTTCTAAAATTACTCTCCTCTGCCTTTATCCTGGCCATAACTGATTCAATTTTCATTGATTAGTGATAATCCCATGTGTATACTTAATACTGATGAAAGTTCATTAAAAATTGAGACCACTTGACCATGTTCCAGCAGTATTCACGTGAATTAGTCGGCTTGTTCATGTCCAAATAATCTACATAAAGATACTCAAATGAAGCCCGGAAATGGACGACCGTACCTTCAAAATAAATGTAGACCATACGTGCCACAGCAATCGTAGTAAAAAGTAAAAAATGATTTAAATTATGTGCCCATTATTTTGGTTTGCTGGTATGTAACTTTACAATACCTGAGACTACAACAAAACTGTCTGTCAGTTTTCGCTACTTTATCATATGCGTAGGGAAATATAATGACCGGACCTATTATTGGATTTAAAGGTGAATTTGTCTTTTTCCAATATTTACAACGGAATAGAGGGTGCCGTGTTAGTTTCTGAAAGATAGTTATTGTACTTTCAGGTGGCCCTCTTGCGTAAGTTTAGTGGAGCTAATGCATTGTTCAATCCTGCTTTTATTTTGAATGACGGTAGCGGATGTGCTCTCATATCTAATGTCCCTGAGCTTGTCTGTCTGTCTAGGAGCATAGCCTTTACAATCATCACCACCAACTTCAGTCTGAGCTGCCCGGGCAGAGTAGGCGCTTGTCTGGATGGAGGGCAAACCGTTCACCTGACTTGTATCAGTACCCGTGGCTCGCGGCATGAACGACATTTGGGAACATAGTTATTTGACATTTTTACGTGAACGGGGCTCAAGACGAGAGTGTTATTCCAGCGATATGATTATGATACCATTATGTTGCATCAGTCAGCGTGATTTGCTATGGTGATACTACAAGCTAACCCCAAGCTAGCAGAGGGATTGTTTTGGGAGATACCCTTTTGAAAAAATCATACGCTGACACATGAATTAGAGACTTTTTGTGAATTTTCATCAAGCTGGAACACAAAGGGGAATGTCTAATCAAGGAGTTAGGAGAAATGGCCCAGTAAAGCTGCGGTTGACAGGTAAGCGAATTTAAACCCCCTCCTGCGCCGCTCGAAACGTTAGCAAGTTAGCCTGCTAGCCAACCAGGTTTACATATGCTGATGGTACAGCAGGACACTGGCGACTATAATAAACATTTCAATTCATATTATACCTTATGTTCATTGTTTTTATCACACTTCAATTGTTTGATTGTAACTGAATGTGACTCACGCTAAAACCCTAAGGAGCACTGAAACGCAGTCAATGAACCTTGTTCGTTAGCAAAAATTAGCTGTAACCTACTGTAACTGTTTATGTTGAAGGTTAATAACCCAGCTGGCTAACGTTATTTGTAGCCTGTATTGACTTTGGATGGGCTTCCTCCAAAAGTAATGTCAGATCTAAATACTTAACTTTGGTATCAGGAAGTCTGTGATAACGTTAATGGATTCCTGTAGTTTTTCAGCATAGTTTGTGGATATCTTTTACATCACCTGTTTATTCATACCGTCATTAAAACACTACTATGTGTGATCATCTGTCATTAAGACTCGTCTAATTGTGGTCTATGAAGAAAAACAGTGGCAAAGCACAGAAGAGACATACCACTATATTATGTGGTGTTCCTTAAAGTAATATTCCAAGCAATTCATTTGCATTTTCCAACGAGGCAAACGTTTTCTGGTTTGCTCTGAGGAGCTATTGTCTTATTATGAAAGAAATGGCATGTGTATTGTTTTAGATTTTACCTGCAGTGATGGATGTACGCAGGAACCAGATTTCAAACCTTTCACCCTCACCGTCTTCTGGTGGTAACCACATCAAATGATGAATCTGATGGTGTTCAGCTGATGTGTAAGAACCTACAGTTGTCTGATTCTGTTGACGTGTCTATCTGTATTTGGTGATAGACCACTATTGTTTTTGTTTTTAAGACTCACATCAGTGCAGTATAGTTTTGAATTCCTACAGCATAGATTAATGACAGGTGTTCTGTCATGATATGGTTTTTGGAAGGTTAGATGACATTATGTGAATGAAGTGTCTTCTCATTCAGCATAATGTGCAGCAAGTGAACAACAAGGTCATTTACTTACGAGGGTAGATTAATACTAAAAAGAACTCTCAAAGCTCAAAGACCTACCCAGCCGTCCTTCCTACTCATTTGCCCTGGGTTTCTTTTTTTCACCCCTCCATATGGGGAATGGTTTTAAATGGGCTGCAGTGGTCTTCAGACGGAATCCCAGGAATGTGAAACCTCACAGAGGAAATGTGAGTCTTTCCTGATCATAGACACATCCTCTGTCTGTCCTTCACTAGAGAGAAAGGATAAGGATAGCAGTGTGTGTGTGCGTGTGTGTGTGTATATGAAGGGAGAGAGCCATTGGGGTTCATATGGCAGAGCGCGACCAGAATTGCTGCTCACACAGTGATGATCAGTGATGCTAAGGCAACATTTAGACTAGTGCATTCATTGCAACTAAACATGTGTGTTTGGTTGTGGCCACACTTGATTTATGCGTCTGAGACCGTGTGCATTTAGACCTAACATTGCATACCAGCCGTAGTCCAGTTTCACTCTGTCTGCTCTGTGGTCTCATAGTTTGCATGTGTTTTTTTCCCCTGTAAGACAGAAGTTGAATTGGTAAAACCAATAGCTAGGATCTAAAGGAGATAAGGGATCTATAGTTGGAAATATGGTTATGTTTCATAATTTCTATAAAAATGATAATAATAATAATAATCTGTTTGAATGCATCTTCATTTGCAGTCTGTAGCCTTGTTGCTGTTTCCCAGCTTTCATCCCTGCTGGCCACCATAAGTGTGACCCATGCAAATTAGATTAAAACGATGGCTCTGTATCAATCAGGGTTTTTACTTCAGAATAACATTTTAATTAAAATTCAGTTGCATAATTATGGATTTCAAAGTAAATTCTTTTCTGACTTGCTAGTAAATTGCTTTATGCTTAACCTCCAACCAAGGCTAATCACTTTGTTGTCTAACACTTTTATCTATTGCCAACGTGGCCCTGCAGAGGCTGTCGCTTCATTTCTTTGCATTTTTCTGTTTCAGTCACAAGTCTCTGCCCCTTTATTTAAAACTCTTCTCAGATGCAAATTTTATTCATAAAAATATTACACTATGGGTTCTGCTTATGCAAACCAGTCAGTTTTTCTTCTTGATTTGTTCGTCACAATAATATAAAATTTGACAGGTTTTTTCTTCCACCAAAGTTAAGCTTTTCCTAGATTGGTGTCACAGAGGAGTGACTGTTATAGCTTGCCACCCTCACTGGTATCCCCTCTTGTCACAGCAGTAGATTAGAATTTGCGTAGGGTGGTCTTACACACACACACACACACACACACTGCAGGATTTTGATTGTATTCATCCCCAGTTTAGTCATCCCACACTGCATTTAAATGCCACCTTCTAATTTCTCTGAAACGCTTTTTTGGGGATCTTCCTTAAGTCTGGAACATTTATCTGGGACAGTTGCTCTTTGATGCTTAAATTAATAAAAACATTGTGGTTTGAATTTGCTGGTAGGCGGTGTGTCGTCGTGTCCCCACAGAGTTTGCTGCCAAGCTTGTAAAAGAGAGCAGTCTTGGTTTTTGAGAGCTGTTATTCCGAACACTGCAGGGAGCCGACAGTTGGTGTAGTTCCCCCTCTTTCTACTTTGCAGTAAGAGCTGGTGTATGATTTACTGAAATTGAACAAGAACAGGGTGTTTCCCTCACTTTCGTTCACTGGATGGAATCTGGAGTTCCTCAAAGGTGAATGACATGAGATGTACGAGGGGATGAGTCCATCTCTTGCCGCCATTCAAATATGGCTTCTTGGCTGCACTATGTTGTTGCTGCCCTTGCTGCTAGGGAAGGGAGTCTGTCTATGTGATCCATTTCCTCCATTAGACTCCAGTTGGCACGCAGCAAGCAGGGAACGACTGGAAGAATCATCTCAGGATTCTCCCTGTTGTGTGTGAGCGCGTGACACTTAAGCAAGCAAGGAAACCCACATTGACATTTTTAATCTACTCTCATGCTTTGTCTGTCTGTCTGTCTGTCTGTCTGTCTGTCTGTCTGTCTGTCTGTCTGTCTGTCTGTTTGTCTGTCTGTCTGTCTGTCTTGTCCCTCATTGTAAAATTTCGGATAGCTGGTGCTAGAGCTTGTGTGTGTATTGAATGGGGGGAAAAGCCAGGAAGCCGGTGATTAAGATAAAGATCGAGCCTCTGTCCCTGGCCCAGCATTAACACCGGGGCAGAGTGGATTTTAGGGAAGTTGTCAGGGACCACTGTCTTAGCATTCGCTGTCAGCTCTCAGAGTACAGCTGTGTGTGTCAGCTTGTTTGTATGTGCAATGTTTGTGCTCTCAAAACAGAAGACAAACACACACTTTCACGTGTACATGAACACAGACAAATTCATGTACACAGTTGAGCTTCCACAGGATGTACTGTCATCACGCGATGCTGAGCTAAATTTGGCCTGTCAGCTTCCTAAAATATGGGGAATGAATGTTACAAGGAGTGGACTGTGGTGATAGTTAGTAACCAACAGGAGCTGTCAACTTTCAAGCTGCGATGCCCACATTGGTTGCAAGATAATTGTGCATTATAGATAAGTTTTGTTCACATTAGAATGCTAGAAGAATTTTAAAAAATAATGATGAGAGAGACATTTAAATGGCATATATTTACTGCCTTTTTGGATAATTTGACTTAAGCAGCCTGAAATGAGAGGAAATAAAATACAATTATTTGGAAACAGTTTTCTCTGTTTGCCTGAATCTGGCAGCTGTCTTATACATTCCTTTTTTTAGCTTACAATTTTGAGTCTCTGACTCACTTCTTCATGCTCACCTTGAATGGATAATGGCGGCCAGCAAAATTTCTTGCCAGTTTTGCTAGCTTCTCCGTATGATTTGAATGGAAGCTGATTACATAGTTATAGTCACATTTAATCAACCCATTGTGAGCTGCTGGTAGTGCAGGGACTTGCATGTATGTGCTGGTGGTGTTATTTATTTTGTTACGTCTAAGGTGTTTGATTTCCAAGTGGCCTGTTTCCCTTTTAAACAATACAAAGATTTGACAGTTGAAATGTGGACCACAGTTAGTGATAATGATTCATCAGCATACAATAGAAATGAGTCATACAGTGACATGTTTACTGTGTTGCGCTCTCTTTTATTTATCACTGGGAACAGTTTAATTTAGGAACAAGCAATCCTCTGGCAGAAAGTGCAGTTTGACCCAGTTATGAGGCAATTAATAAGCACCGCTCAAAAATTCTGATTGCTGCAGCATCACCTCTACGATACTGAGAAGATTTTCACCAGTTTTATTTTACAGTTGTGCTACCCCACACACATTGAAAACTATAGGGTGAAAATGTTTGCATTTCTGCATTTGCGCAGAATAAAACATCTGACTTCAGGAAAGATGAGAAAAGGTAATCTGCAAATGTAATGCTGATTGAAACTCATAGCATAAGGAAAGAAGGTGTAGAAGGTTGCTCATAAACCTTAGCTCCCCAGGCACTGAGATAAGTAAGCCTTTAGCTGTTCTGTATGCACCTGTATGCATATCTCTACTCCCCCATATTGAAAAAAGTGATGTTTTATATCTGGAGGTCAGTGGGCGACTTGTCTTTACAGTCCACTGCCTTTTTGAAGGCAGAGATTCAGTGTTTGTGCTGTTATAGCCAGCATTCACAAGAGTATGATATGTTGAAGCCTACGTGCTCATTTCCATACTACTTACCTCTGGTTTTCTTCTTTCTGGAATCAGAGACTTCCTCTTTGACTTGGCTTCTTGTATTTTTTGAGCCTGTCTGTCACTGTGACTTCTGAACATGCAGTGAAGCATAATGTGCTACTCTTCATCTCAGAGATTTGAAAGGAGGCTAGTCTGTGAGTGTGTATGCACACACAGATGTGTGTGAGAGTGAGAAAACTGGTGTGTCTTTAGCTTGGAGTGTGTGTGTATACCAGGGGTGTTCAATTAGAATTCAAAGAGGTCAAGTTAGACAAAA